AGTAAATAAGCATAAATGACATTTTAGCAAGCCAAAATATTCTTGCGACGTACAGTGTTATTTTTCGTTTTAGTGCAGTGTTTTTGTGTTTAAAATAATTGTCGTTGTGTTAAAATATACCGAAGACTCTCATTTTGGCATAATTTAATATGTGAAAGCCAATATTAATTTTTTTTCAATACCTGTCAAACAGCTGATTTTCGTCCTTGGTTAGGCTCAATTTCATTTGACATATACATGTTATTTATTGATTACCCAAGCAAAAGGAGTTTTCGGCTTATTTTATAAGTCTGTTCTATCCATTTCAACCGCTATTTTATTGAAAAGCATTTTTATTTTCACGTACATTGCAAGAATTTTTATGGTGTATTTTCTCGCTTCTGACGTCACAATCCAGGATGGCCGAGATAGGTATCCAGGAGTCTTAATGTAACAAGAATCTTAGTTAGCACAAACAACTGATTTGTAAACAAGATTCTTGTTGCATTAAAAGGAATTATAGTCGATTTAACCAATACAATTTCTGTTTCGTCAATTTTTGAACAGAATTTTTGTTAATATAACAAAATTTTTTTTCCAGTGTTGAAATGTTTTGGAATTTTATTTGTTCTTTAAAAAAATTGAAAATGTATTTAAATGGAATTGTATTTAAATTTTTCGTAGATCATTGATTTTTTCGTTGCGTCTAACATTCAACTAAAAGAGCAGTTGAGACTCTATTCGAGTAAAAAATATTTCATTTTTGTAAATAATACAATACATTTTTTTATTTAGGAGTCCAAAAATATGTGCATTATTCATGAGTTATTTATGGATGTTAAGTGTTCAAATATAATATAAGTAATATTTGTAATACATATATTAATTTTCATTAACATGCGCAATTATATCGATTTGATCAAGAAAAGTTTTCGATTTCTTGTACATTTTTATCATATACTATTGGTAAATCGTGCAAATTTTCTTGAAATGTTCTGGAAATGTCCTTAAATTTATTTTCAAATTTTACTAGACACTGTTATTCCGGATAAAATAAATCCTTTAACCGATAAACTCATATATGGGTGCGATGTTTTTATTGAGGACATGTTAATCCTCAATAGCAAGTTTAATTTTTCGTAATAGAAGGAATCCCGTTACCTCCTTTTTTTAAATACAATTTTAAGCTTTCGGTATTTTTATTTGGTCGTGACACCTGGATGGAAGCAATAACGAGCTTGGTTTCTACTCATTACAGACCATGGATTAATGCTATTCCGGCGGATAAAAGCCGAAAACGCGCTTGTACACAAGAGCTTTTGCGCAAAATACATCGCGTGCGCTGCGGAATAATGTAAACTTGCATTGTTCCTGGGTTTAGAGATATATGCATGCAATTCGCAACGAGCGAAAATGGACTGCCTTGTTTGCGATTTTTTTGTTGTTGCCAGTTGCTGCACGTGGATAACACGCGTCTCTAGATAGAAATAAAACTCACTTTGTAAGCCCGGCATACCGATGAGACGCGAACTCTCTCGCATTGTACACGCGCGATGAACTTGCATGCACAAATGTGCAGAATCTGCATTCTGCATCTTTCAAAAATTTATGTTCCCTCTGTTCAATTTCAACCGTCCATACTTGGACTCGCTCGTCCGTGCTTGATTGATTTTCACTTATTGCTCGTAAATTTTTATTTGCTCGCGAATAGTAACAGAAATATTCTCGTGTTGTAACTTTTTTATCGGGAATTTTCGAAGTTCTTTATTTAAACCATTTATTTGAGTGCCATTTTTTATTTAAAGAGAGAAATAATTTTTTTTAGACGTTCTATCTATTTTGGAAAAAATTTTCTCACACGTTTTCAGCAGAAAAATGATATTTTTTTCAGCGTTTTCTCTCTTGATTGTTTCAAACACAAGCGGACATGGTCTTTCATTTGATTTGTCGCTAACGTTAGATGAACATTGATCGATAAAAGAATAAAAAAAGAATAATGCATTCATGGAGCGTAAAATGGATACCTGTTTATGTTTTCGTACGAATATTCGATTGAGAAAATGAGAGAGTCAAAGATGCATGCATTCCTGAACCGGTCATTCAACTGGTAGACTTTTCCCAAGCTGTCGTGGATCTCATTTCTTTTTATAGGGTTTTAAACGTTATTAATGTTGCAAATTATGAGAAAATGCTGACTCGCAGTATAATTCACGCGTACTGTTTGGGAAATTATTCTCGTTCCCTTTTTCTTACAGAATATAATAGTTTTCTAAGTAGAGGCATTTAAAGAAGTATGGAAACTTTTTGCATTAGAATGACGAGGCAACAGGAAGCGTGAATGCACACGTGCACACGCGATGAGTACGTACGTGCGTCTACGCACAGGTGAATCACATTTCCCGAGGCACGCGTGTTTAACTCCCGTGTTTCGAAGGCAAAAATCAGTCGGACATGACCGCAAAAAAAAAAAAAAAAAAAAAAAAAAAAGGGAGAGAAGAATGCGTGGACATGCGTAAATAGTGGATTTGTCGTTCATCGTTGTGCATCTTTATGCCAAGACATGTTGATTAATGAGGTTTCGGATTGTGATTTAAATTCCAAATGTGCATATGTATGGAATGTTCCTTATCTAAAATTTCAACGAAATATTTATAAATTATGGAGAGAGAATTATTGGATATACGAGAATTGGAATCGACACGAAATCAAAGGATATATAATAAAAAAAAATATATATATATATATATTTGTTAAATTTTTATTTTTTAAGTTTTACGAAATTTCGTATGTACAAGTTGTCTTACTCTATTTAGCTTTTTATTGAAATGGGAATTGAAACTCCGGGGTACGATTTAATTTTTCCGTTTTCCGATATGCGCAGTTTGCCGAGGCAATACATCAACGTGTGTTACAATTTCTGTGAAATAATTAAATATCTGCGGACGGGATGAATATACTGCAAAGGGAATCCCAATTTCTATATTTTTATTCGATTAATTAATTTATATGTTTGTGGCATACACAATTTATTTCTATACTTTGCTTGATAACATTTATTTTATCTTTTGATTTCAGCTCTCATTATCGTCCTGTGTTCTATCAATTATTAATTATGCATTCTTGTTAATTAATTATATTGATTATACATATACAATTCGACTTTGCTATTTTTGTTGTGTCGAGTAGAAAAATCGAATAATCGTTAATCGTTTTTCTCTTTTAAAGACTTTTTTCCTTTCTTTTTACAACGCGTGACTTGTGTGCAAATATTTTTACAAATGTCAAGTATCGAATTCGTCAAGTCTAATCGATAAGTCAATTGAATTGCGAATTGTTCTATTTTCACACTGCATTGTAGATACAATGAAAAGCTCTTTATATATTTATCCAACTTTATTTTATTTCCTTGAATGAAAGAATATAATTTAATATGAATAATCAGAGATCGATAATTGCAGCTTACGACGCGCAGATAATTTTTTAATAATCCGATTCCAATTGCAATTTAAATTGGGGGAAAAACACCTTGGATCGCAAAGAACACAGATAGAGCGTATTTTATTTAAGACAAAAGGAGAAGTACGCTCTTTAAAAGTCTCATTGCCGTGAGTTAAGAGATACCAAAGAGATCTATAAAACTCCATGCGAAGCTTCGCGAAGCTTACTTTGTCAGGATAGAAAGCTCTTGGCGAACTTTTGATCGAAAACAGCTGCGTTTTCGACTCTTCGACGACAATGGACGGTTCCTCTTCGCGTTGCTGCAGATATTATTTTCTTCTTTTCGGACGAAAGGAGTATTCCGGAGAGTGGCTTTACCGTTGGACGTTCCAGTTTCGCGGATCTATCGCGAATTATGAGATAGCGCGTTCTCGCTATGATCGTCCTGTGTCCTGCAATCGTGTATCGCCGATAACTGTACGTGCAATTGCTGCGAAATCGCGGTCGCAGCTAACATTGAGATTTTTTCCTCTTCTGGAAGTCGAATCATCGCGCTGAGGAATGATTATATGCGTGCGCGCAATCGACGCGTCTCGAAACTCGCGAATTTTCACGAATTATTTTGACGTTTCGATTATTCGCCTCTATATATGCAGAGGGAATTTTCTCTTAGAATCCATCCTGAAATTTATGGTAATCACGGGACATATATGGTATTTGAAGAGTTTTATCAGAGTTTCTCCGATTAATATTTATCACGATACAAAAAAATTAAAATAAAATTGATTGAATTAAATAAAACTATTTTTATGGTTCTACTAAAATTTAATGAAAGATAATCTCGGTTATGAGAGCTCTATAAGTAGATATAAAATATGTTTGATTAAAATATTTAATAAAATTTCAATAATTTTAAAATATATTAAGTGATAAACATAAAATATTTTGCAATACCAGCATTTTCAATTCAGTTTATGATAATTTTAATGCGCAGCATGATAATTTTTCACTTATTACCAAACATGATAAAATTTGTAGTGAATTTTGCTGTAAAATATAACGCAAAAATTCTCTCCGTGTACGATTCTCCAACGAAGACATGACCGCTTTTCGAGACTACGGCTCTCTGTTATTTCGTTGTTTGATTTTTGTCTAGTTTGACAGCTCGCGCATGAAATTCGGGTAAACAATTAACGAGCGAGCTGAAATTCTACGTGCGTATGCGCGTTTTATGCGTTTTATGCGTTTTATTTTCGTGTTTGAATCAAAAGTAATAATAATAATAATGCAACAATAATTAGCAACACCGGCACAAAAAGCAAATCTGAGATTATTATAATTTATTATTCGCCACATATACATTATATATGAACACTATAAATTTTAATCCATAATTATATACACACTATTTGTGCGCTTTTAATCAAAATATATTTCGCGAGATCACACACGTTCAATTCTTTCAGCTGATATTTTAATTACGACGAGAGTATTTTGTTCGTCGACATATGTCGTTAAAACGTAAAGAAACGGAGAATTATTATAATAATAATTAACGATACTGTGCTATTATCACGTTTCAGCACCATATGAAGGTGGAATTTGGAAGGTAAGGGTTCATCTGCCGGAGCATTATCCCTTCAAGTCACCTTCGATTGGTTTCATGAACAAAGTCTACCATCCCAACATTGATGAAGTCTCAGGCACGGTGTGTCTAGACGTTATAAACCAGGCTTGGACTGCCCTTTACGGTACGTATATTCGTTTAGCCTCGTAAAATTTTGCTGCACGAAATCCTTAAATAGAAGTATCTGCGCAATTTCCGCTTCACCGTCTACTTAACTTTCATACAAGAATTAATTTAATCCAGACGTAATGTCGAGAGAGATATACATTGTTTCTATGTGTTCAGCAAGATGTAGGTATATATTTAATATTTATATACAGCACCCACTACAAGTTTGGAAACACTTTACATTTTACAGTTAAACAATCGTATGGCAGCGATTTGTACAGATTTTGTGTATGAATAAATCGTAAGATAATTAAATGACATTTTTGTTTATGACAGATCGCTGCCATGAAATTGTTTAACTGTAAAATGTAAGATGTTTCCAGACTTGTGGAGGGTACTGTATATTATAAATTGAGCTTGGCAAGAAATGTAAAAATGAATCTTTGTATATCCGCTTTGTGGAGAACGAAAAAAAGTTTATACGAAATTACGAAGGATTATACTGACATGCTCTTTTATTGTTTCAGACCTGTCGAATATTTTCGAGTCTTTCCTGCCTCAGTTGTTAACATATCCCAACCCAATCGATCCCCTGAACGGCGACGCTGCCGCGATGTACCTTCACAAACCAGAAGAGTACAAGAAGAAAGTAGCAGGTGAGTATATTGCCTTAATAAGTTGATTCTCCGCGATAGAAGAGTTTGACGATCGCTGCTGATCAGAGCTTGCGTCTCTTTCTCTTCAAAGTAAAACTCTGCAGAACATCGCAATGCAATTTCCCGTTCTTCTGCCTTCTATCTCGACAGATTACGTCAGGAAGTACGCGACGGAGGAGGCGCTGAGGGACCAGGAGAACGGCGGCACCGGCAACGGATGTCCTCCGACAGCGAGTCCTCGATGAGCGACTTCAGCGAGGACGAGGCGCAGGACATGGAGTTGTAACCAAATATATTACCATCCGTACCCATATCCTTAATCATCTCGATTCCTTGTAAGATCCCCGATCGGTCGTCCTACTACCAAATAGATGCTTACACCCGAGACTCCGAGCCTCACTTTTGGTGACGGTGACGAGCCCTTATTACTTGTCGTTGCTCTCGTCGTCCGTCGCTCGTTTGTAGCCGGCGTAGCTCGTGTCTCCCAAACAAAGGAGATCCCCAACTCTCTACGAGAGTGATGAAAGCGACAGAAGCGAACGAGGTAAAAACGGAGAATCGCGTATGCGGGGTGGTTGTGTATTGTGCGCTTTTCTTAACATCGAACGCGCATCGAGGGGCGTTTTTCGATCACGATGGCGATATCTCTTATGATCGTCTGAGTTCTCTTGAGTTGGTTCCGTTCGTTTATTGCATTCAACAAAAATGATAAGTCAAAATTTCGTTTCTGCCGATAGATTGACGACTATGATGATGGTAGCGCGTTCCATGGATGAACGCGTTACCATCATCATGGTTGAAACAATCTGTCAGCATGAACGAAATTTTGTTTTTGCAATACAGAATCAATGCTCTTGTCCTCCAAAAAGAAGAAGAAAGAAGGTAAATAAATGAAAAAGAGAAAAATAGAGAGAGAGAACTCATTGCTCGGATTTACGGGTCTGTCAGTTTGAGGTTCACAATTTGGATTCTCGAAATTGCTCGTACAATGTTTCGGCATCGATCGGACAATGCGTCATCTACCATGTATCTACGATGCGTTTCTGTGTGATTGCGAGAAGCGACCGAAATCAGTAACGTTATCGTACGACCAAGAGTTACACAGAATATATTCATCCGGTTACGTTTCCCTTGTTTTCAAGATTCTCTCGCCCTTATTTATTTCTCGTTTCTTCTTCCGAGTGCCGCAGGCGTGCTCATTGTTGTGATATTTCGAAAATATGTCGAGAAAAAGAGAGCATATATATAGAGAAGAGAGAGAGAGAGAGAGAGATAGAGAGATGAGAGATAGAGCAGAAGAGCGAGAGAGGATCGATGAGAGAGAGAGACTGATAATAGATAGTCTATCTATCTCGAGCTAGTCGAGCTCGCACTATAGAATGCGAGCAGAGAGAGATACAGCAACGAGAGATGCGTCGAGAAATTTTAACGAGAAATTTTAACCACGAGCCGATTTGATCCATACAGCGATCGCATCTTCTCCACGGCTAACGACTCCTTTGCTGCTACTTTAACTGCATTGCATCCATTTGAAAAACAAAAAAAAGAAAAATTATATTTTGCAAAAGAAAATCACTATTAGTCGTTATTTATTCTCTGCATTTTTAAGTTTGAGGAATACACTAATATGTATTCCTCAATAATCATTATATTCCTCAATTAAATTATTTAAAGGAGAGTTTAAAAACTTATCTTTGCAATAGTTTTCTTTTTCCTCGCGATCGATGGATTAAAAAAAAGTCGATGTCAATGTCAATTTTACGGTTCTCCGTCAAGGCAGGTCTTTTATTTAAGCAACAGTGAGACACATAAAATGTGATGGAGGGGGGGACTAGCACCGTCTCCTTTTCCTGCCATCCATTCCCAAAACGTTTCCTCGTAGGGCTGCGCATCAGCGACCGATCGCTACGTCGTCTTCGTCGTCGTCGTCGTCGGCGAAAAAGATCGAATCTGCCACGCAAACGGCCGCACGACCGTGACGCGAACGATGTCGGGATAATGCAGCCGCCGTTGAAGACTGCGCGATCGTGGAACTATCCCGGGAGAATGAGTGCAAACGAGACTCTGAATACGTTTCAAGCATCCTCGGCGTCCTGTCTCGAACTGCGCGCATCGGGCGGCAAAATGCGGAAGAGACGCAGACGAATGAGCCTGCAGGAGGAGGACCGTCCTCATCGATGTGTCCGTTCTTTGGAAGTGAATTTTACTAGATTGCAGTCGATTCCGATGGGTGCGAATTCGGACGCGATTCAACGATCGCTCGCGAACATTTTTAAGTCAATTTGTATTATTTTAATCATTGTTAATTGAATTATTATAGATTTCATTATATATAGATTAATGTTATTAATAGAAGGACGTATATACATTAAAACTGAATTGGTTTGTTATAATAATCTAGAGAATACTTTGCTTTTCGAACAACGAAAATTGGAAACATCCTTGCGTTAAAGAGAAAAAAGAAAAGAAAGAATATCTATTTAATTGTCATTATTTCCGTTTGCTATGCAGTTTACGTTTTATTTCGAACATTAGAACTTAAAAGAAAATGAAATCAAAGATCTCAGGGAACTTCTGTTCGGAAAACAAAAAACTTGTGGTTGTAACATCGCTGAGGTAAGGAAAACAACTCTGTATGAGAGATGGAAAGCACGCGAGGAAAGAAACAACAGAATTTATTTTTTTTATGATTGACAATATATATATCAGCGAATTTTTGAGCTTTCAAAAAGAACCAAGTAGAGTGAAGAATTGTTTGGCAGTGTAGGAAAATTGTAAAAGTTTACGAGAATATAAAATTGTACAAACTTTGATGCACAATAATCTTCGATCAATAGTATCTCGTTTCAAATTGATCTCCCTCCTTTGCATGATTTACGCAATGATGTATGCAATGCGATTACAACTATACGTAAGTATAGACGTTTATATTTCAGTGCCTTCTCAGGCAGAAAAGCGTGCCTTATTATAATGGGTCTCTCGTGAAAAATTGCATTGGAATATATGAGTGCATACGAGCATTTAATAAATCTGTGAATAAAATTCATTATTTAAAGCATTGCACACTAATATAATATGTGTTTACTTTCGAAATTAAGGATAAATATATTGAAAGCAATTACTGTAATAATTAGCTTCAATAAATCGATGATAATTAAAATGTATAGGACGATTGAACCGAAATGAGAAAATGTAAGAAAGCATAAGAAACATTTCATTGATAAAATTATTGATTTTCAGAAACTTTGGTTACTTTCACATTCTTCCTTTTGATCGAATTGATATCTAATAATTTAAATTTCGCTATAAATACATTGCAAGCACATCGATCATAAATGCGGTAATGACAACAATTAAATTTAAATGTATATAGTAAAATGAAAGTTCCAGTGTTTTTCAGTCAATAGCATATATTTGCAATTTAAATATAATATGTAAAAGCTTCTCTCTCTCTCGATATAAAAACTCACAACTTTGTTCATCACGCTGATAAAGTTTATGCAACAGTTGCATTCATATTTCTTTAAAGAATGTTTTTTTGTTTTAAGCGCCGAGAAGAATATACAATTTATATAGAAAAGAAATGTATATATTTATCCTTAGCGTCGTTACGATTAATTAAGATATATTTTTACATCAACACATACACGGCCAGGTTCCGTTTGCAAAGTAAAAACACTGCTAAAGAGATTAATTGAAATTAGATACGATTTTTTATATATTTATTAAATGTCTTTTTTTTAGTCCGTGCAATTATGTACAGTGCGATATCTTCTTTAAAAATTCAATTCGTCAATTGTTTTCATTTTATACAGTTATATCACAGCTCTTCGTCTAAATTGTTTCGTTAAACTTTGAAACTCGGTGTGCAATCAACAAAGCATATGCGTTATTTGAATGTATGACAGAAAATGTACAGCTTTTATTTAGGTGTGAATACTCTTAGCAGGGTAAATTATCAGTCGTACTTAGAGAATGAAGACCTCTGTTATTTTTTTTATTCACGCTGTATTTCTTCGCATATAAATACGCATCTCTTCTATTTATTTTATAAGTTAGCTAATAGCATTATAACACGCGCATTTCATTAATGTGGCCGATCTCATCGACAATATTACTGTTAGATTTTGTCGATCAAAATTAAATATCATCGTGTAGAATGTGCGTTTCACATAGTCGATTGATTTTGAAGTCGTGCTCTCAGATCTCACATCGTTGCTAATTGTACATGTAACATATAGAATTATTGACTAGTTTTATACGCATAAATATATATATATACATATAATTATCAATCATATTTGCATAACTTTTTATATATTATGTATGATTTTACTAACAAATTGTTCAGTAAGCGAAAGAATTTCAATAATCATTTTTTATTTTTTTTTTGCAAGTGTTGTTTGTTTTCCTTGTGTCAACTCATATCTTATCGCGTTTTATTCTTTTTTATTTTTGTTTCGCTTATTATTATTATAACGAAGATGAAGAATATTCTGCGGCGTATATAAACTGATATTGGCTTAATCAAGTTAATGCGTAGATCAATACTTACTAATATTTTATTTTAATACCAAGATCCATTGCCTCTATTGTGTTCAAATTTTCTGTAACAGTTAATGTCTAAAGGTATATTTTTATACATATGTATTGCAATGATATAATATAGCGATATATTGCATGCCCTTTATCTCATATGTCGAATTTCATCACCATTTAATTATTCCTTTGTAATTATATACATCATATATATATATATATATATATATATATATATATATATATATATATCATTTTTATAATCATATAAGCAATCCTTTCATAGTTTATATCGATCTTTTAACTCTGTAGGATACGTCGAATATTTTCTGAATACATGAATAATTGTACATTTAAAGGATGCAAAGGAGTTGTTACGTACAGGAAATATAATTTTTAGCTCTAGAGAATTGAAACGAGAGAATTTGAAACTACGATTATTGTAATTGATTGGCTCTTTGCATATGTGTTCTTAGTATTGCAAAATGATGTAAATCTTGCTCGCAAAAATGCGTAAGTATCTTTTATGGATGACAATTTTCCGATATAGAGAGCAACCGGCGACGAGTGATGCCACGTATTTGCCAAAGTTATGTCAATAATTCGAAGGGCGAGGGATTCGTTTTGCTCGATTCAGTTTAAACATCCAACAAATATAATATACATATATGTACAGTGTGAAATACGTTATCTAAATAGAATTATCAAAAAGTGTCGCGCTACAATTATATAGCCTATATTGTCTACGATTTTTGTGACAATTATATTTGGAGCTGCAACTTCAATATAAAAAAGAATGAAGAAAGAAAAAAGATATTCGATGTGTCGAAGATAGAACATATAGTCGGGTTTTTCACTGTACGGGACATTTTTAATTCAGTGTCTTTTTTCATTTTGAAATAATGTAGAATGTGAGAGATAGAGAGAGGTCGAGATATAGAGCGCTTATCAAAGAAACTCCTTTAAGTACTATTAAATATCGATGAAAATATTCGTTCACAAGATTCCATTGCATCGTGAAAAAGGACAAATAAACAGCTGTTATTCTCGTGGTGGTGTTCCGCCGGCGGAATACACTTCCTTGAGTTGCCGTTTCTTATTTAAATTAGATAAATCGAGAGGAGTTTGTGCGCGCATGTTCCTTTTCGCTTTCAGATATATCCCATACAGCGCAACAAGATTGCAGCAGCATTGTGGCAACATTTCATTGCAATATTACAACATTGCATAAACGTTGTGAAATGTTGCAGCAATCTTGCTGCAAGGTTGCAGCAACTGTAAAATGTCCGCTTTCAGCAATATTGTTCTATAACATTGCAGCAATAATGCAATAAATAAATATGTAATATTACTATTGGATTATTGGAAATGTGTTAAATATACATGATTGGATGAATGTTCTGTACCTAATATTTTTTGCGTGAATATTATTTTCATAATATTTCTGAAATGTTGCTGCAACGTTGTTTAAACTATATTGCAAATTCATGCCTATACAATATTGCTATGCAATGTGCAATATTGCTGCAAACTTGTGTGCTGTATGGGTACTCTTCATCGGTGGACAAGAAAACAGCAATATTTTTGCTACTTATATCTCGTAATTATATCTCAATCAATGTTATCGAGCGTGCCTAGGATTAGCACGAGCGTCAGACGCGTTTGCAATAATGAAGGTTGATTAAAGTTGTAATAAAGATGATACAATCTTGTTACATTAAACCGATCGTGACGATCGGAAAAACTAGTCGTCCGACAACGACACGATGATGCAGTTATATATTTATCACTTGGCAAATTATTTAATATTCGCGACCGTGATGGCAATTCGTTCTCTATCTATTCTATCCAGCCGAAAGTGGGACTGCACAAACCCAATTAATTCTCCAATCTCCCGACTTAGATTCAGCGATAAGGGGAATGATCTAGCAGTATGCATTTGCAAATTAGACGGCGTGGACGTCGATATCGCCACGATCGATAGTGAGATAATTAAACAGTGTGGAAAACACGAGTAAAAATGGTGTTTTAAGTACCATATATTTCAACATTACGTGTTTATTGATTTATTTCTTTTTTTTTTAACATCTGTTGATGCAATTATGAAATTAGAGCAACTATAATTTCGTGTAATACCTATTCTGTTATTCGTCGAATTTTTAAAATATTACGTATTATCAATAATAAGCTATTGTTTTTTAGCAATATCGGCGTTTGCAATGCAATGGACGATTTTCACGTGTGTTATTACACCGCTTTATATTACTCATCGATTGTGCGAGAACATACCTAAACAATTTCCACGTAGATAAGCGAGACCATTATCGAGAGAAACATTTTTTACATTCGAACGAAATAAATTATTGCGGGATTTTACGCTCACACACGTAGAGGGAAAATTATTTCGCCGCGAAGAAGCAAAATTGCGAACGGGAGACCGCGAAATACGATATGTAATTAACCATTCTGTGAGACGAACGAAACAATATACTCTCCCGAACAAAAAAGTTTACGCTCGCTTATGCATCTGGAAATGAGAACTTAATATTTCAACTATGGTGATAGAGAGACTGATGAGGCGGAAACATTTATAATTACAGGACGGGATATTTTCTTAGCGGTCCGCACTGCAACGTATATGTTTTTTAATTGTCTAATTAGAAAAATCAGAAATATAATGAGAAATATAATCAAGTGTGTTCATGGAAATTATACGCAGATATAAGAAAATTATTAAAGCGACAAATTGGCGGACAAGACATAAACCGAATTAAATGTTGTATTGTCGAGAAAAAAAAAATCAAAATTATATAAAAAATATTCCACAGATTGAAATAACGTATTTAGGCCAGATATATATTATTACAATTATTGTACAATTTTGTAAGAAAGAAAGAAAAACGTTGTTTGGTGCGCGCTGCAAAGAATTTCAAAGATTGAAGGATTCCGAAAATGCGTTTGCGATCCTTCAATCGATCAGCTTACAGTGAGACGGATTCTTTTGATATAGACTTCGATATCGCTGGTAGCACACAGATCCTTTTCAAACGTAATACATGTAGCGACATATAAAAAAAAAGTTAAGGAGTTGTGGTAGTGACGACGATCGTCATTAACTCTGCAGTAACGTTTAACATTTTCCCCAGTGGTTCTAGTCACTGCCATACCTATTGACGACGATATCATGAAGAGCGTGACCGGAGAGCTGCTAAAGAAAATTCTTGCCGAACAGTATTGAGAAAAAAAGCAACAGAGAAAAATATATATCTCATAATGTGTTCGAGTTATTAGCTGTTAAAAAGCTCTCGAGAAAAAAAATTGGCACAAAGACTGCTGTACTGCAGGGTTTACGGGGAATCGACGAGATATCCGTTAATTAACATTGGCAAAGTAAAGCTTTATAAACTAACGTAGATGATGATGATGATGATGACGATGACGGTGGAGTTTGGAACACTTGTTCGAAGGATTTGTTCGGGAACCGTTTCTATGTTCCATGTACAATCGTGAAGATCGAATTATTGGTGTCTGTAGAGGTACATATATTTTCTTACGGTATACATATGGTAATTAGCTGCGCTGCTTCGGCTCGTGAAGGACCCGCCACCCTTGAATTAGTCATAATGAATCGAAGAAAGCGAGATAGCTTAGAAATGATATTAGCATCTCATAAAGTAAATGTATGCAATAAAATTGTTTGATAGACTTTTTTTACTTTCATAATGCGATTTCGTCGCAGTGACGTCAAAAGTGGAGTTTAGATTTGCATTCGCAACAAGTTAGAATAATTCAGACAGACATGTATGATGCATTTTTTTATTAGTTTCAAAGTATGTGCGCGAAAGATTACAAAAATAAAGATTTAAATAATCAACGGTCCAAAAATGTGGTACAAATAAAGTGGGACTTTAAAAATTAATTTTAATAAATTTAAATTCAAGATTTAATATGAAACATATTTTTAATTAAGAGATGATTATTTTTGAAGTGCTGGAAGAGATTAATAATACACAATTATTTAATAATTCCAAGTATAGATCTATCTTTTCGAAATTAAAAAAGCGATTGACTTTGGGTTAATTCATACCGATCCAATGAAAAAAATTCTAAAGGACGAATTTAAGGGAACGGGCTCCTCAAAAGCTAGATGTAATTTTCTTAGGTATCTATTATTTCGATGTATGAATCGTCTATGTAAGATGCTGGTATTGTTAGAAACAAAAATGTTGACGACGAGTATGCCGAGAGAATAGAATCTATCTCGAATAATCCGGCCTTTCTCTGAAAAAAAAAACAAGGATGAGACAAAACAATTCGACGATCTGACACATATCAGATCGTTTTAATAAACAGATTTTCCAAATCTGACAATCACACAGAACGTCTTTCTAGTGTTAGCACATGACGATGATTACGAACTCGCTGAATCCACGTTTTCATGGTTCATGAACACAATAAAACAATGACAAACAATGAACATTACGCTATTACAAATATTTATTATATATAAATAAGATATAACAAATAAATATATATATATATATATAAATATATATTATATTGAATTAACGATGATTGAACAAGATGCAATTTTTTGGTACAATAAAATGAAAAGAACCAAAAAAATATGTCCGAGTGTGTTATTGAAGAATCCACGCATGTGACATTGATTATATTATGTTTGAGATGTTTAAAATAACTTTTCTGTCATAATTTGTGTGTGTATGCACTTTTATAATATATGTGTGTACATATTTCTCTGTCACTATAGATCAATCGCTTTTTTACAATTTATTTGGAATTATGACGAATTTGACATTTGTATTTTTATTTTAATATTTATTTATGGAATTCATTTATGATACGATTAAAGTGATTTAATTTAATTAAAAAAAAAATATACAATGATTGTGAAAGATCTTATACGCTTATTTAAAATGTATATACCTGTATTCTAAAGATCTCTATATTATCGACAAATATTTATTTATATTATTGTATCTGTTATTTCTTTCATACAAGTTAATGAAATACGCAATTCTCATGTATTTGTATATATTCTCTTTTATTTAAATAATTCTTGTATTTACAAATATTTATTAATATTTATCATATGTGTTTCGCATACTTTTATGCAAGAGAGCAATATGTATATATGTATTTTTATATGCCGTTTATTTTGAATGTTTACATCAGGGAGGAGCAGCTTGGAACTGGTTTTCACTTATATAATACACACGATTATTCCGCCATCACGACATTTCCGTGACTTATCAGTCGCGATTGTAAATGAAAATCGAATTGCCGGCGGGACGCGGCGGCGCGCTCGGGTGACCGACAGATGAATTTCGCGCCTCGCCGCGGACGCGCTCGCGCCCCGCGCGCGCGCGGCGGCAGTCGTGTCGGGACCACCGAGCGGTGTGGACGTGTTCGAGCGTCGCGCGTGTCAAACACTCGTTGTTTCGATCGCGTACGTGCCAGTGACACTTGGTCGGTTGCTGTCCGCGCCGAGGCATGCAGGATCGACGCCGAGGGAGATAGACACACACGCACAAACACATACACATACATATATATATATATATATATATATATATATATATATATATACATATGTATACGCACGTCACGACACTTCACAGTACGTAAAAATCTGCCGCGTCGAACGTCTCGATTTGTCTCTCTCGCGTTAACTTATCATCATATATACGCTCACGCACGCACGCACTTTCCCGCGCGTTCTACACGTATTATTACACGAAAAAAAAATTATATACGCCCGTCGTTGTCGTCGACAGTCCTCGCGCGAAGAGGAGCTGCATCTCCTCGGCACGAGCATATCAAGAGACGGAAGTGCACCGGCGTTTTCACTCATACGTGCATATACGAGCCGAACGGTCGGACCGTGCGGACTCCTGTTCCGGGAAACGATATATCTCGATTCATCGCGACAGCGCGCGGAGCTGGGCGAGGAGCCTGCGGCCGTCGCCGCCGCCGCCACCGCGAGGAAGTGAGTAAACACTTTTTTATTTTCTCTCCTTTTTTACCTCTTCCTCGCTCGCGCGCGCGCGCGCGCGCGAGCGAGCGAGCGAGCGAGCGAGATTCGCGATATTCGCGAGTGTGCAGGCCTTGACTTTTGTAGAGTCGACTTCGTCGCGTCCTCGAGACAACGTCGCAAGATTATTCTTCTTTCTCTCTTCCGCGAATGTTAAGCGGAAGCGAGGCTGGGATTTTACGGCGGAAATAATCGCAGAGTATTTTTACGCGGGCGTTTATGCGCGCTGAAGTTGCTTTATTCAGCTGTCCGGCGAGAAAGAGAGAGAGGAGAGAAAGAGGATGCTGTGTGTGTGTGTGTGTTTTCCACTCTCTGGCGGCTGTGCTGGAACGAATGACTGCCTTTCGATTGTGATTATTTCTATCGTTAATGAGATACGCGCCGGCGGCTCTTTCGTCGATGCTTGCTCGAAGACTCCGAATCGGATCTTCCGTTGCAATATGTGAGTAATCTCTAAACGCGCAGAAGATCGAATCTCGATTATCGAAAGCCAGGAAGGCATCCTTTCGTGACACGAATCCACTCTCTCTTTCTCTTTTTTCCTCCTATTTTTATTTTTAAATTTTCTATATCGAAACTGTCTTTCTCTCTCCCATCTAGACATAGAAATCGCGATATATTTTGCTTTTTGCAAGACGAAGAAATCGACTACATAATCGATTAAATCTTGACATTTTTTGAAAATTGACATACCATTTTAAATTTTTGCAATGACCAATAATTGTTTAAAATCTGTATTTACTATTTTGTCAACCGAACATATATTAGTATTTAAGTCAAATACATGTTTTGTTAAATTAATATATGTTATATTTAATTTAAATATTTTTATATGTTTAATTAACAAAATATTATTTAGTTGAAAACGGTTTAGTCAAGTCAACAATTTTTCTCGGTGTGCTTTTATAAAATTTCTGAACTTTCAAATAGAATTTAGAAATTCATGTCTTGTTTGAGGAAACATTCTTGAAATGTCTTATAACTGTTATATAACGGAATTAACCTTGGAAATTAAAGTGTGCGATAAGAAGAGAAAGACAGAATAGAGAATATATTTCTTTCACATGCGTGCATTTCCGACTTTTCACGTTTGTCGATAGTATTTTCGGCATGTTCATTATCACGTACGTGATTCTTGAGCACGTAACAGCCCGAATTTGACACGTATGTGAAATTCTCACTCTGCTTGTGTAGTAACAAATATTATATTTCATATTCAGCGCTTCGAATGCTTAGTTGTGAATTTCGCTGATATAGTGGCTCTTGCGCATGTATATGTATTTCCTATTGATAACACGTCAATGAAAACTATATGATTGGGCCAGTCACATTTAACGCTGAACGTACACAAAACAGAGTGGAAGGTTGATTTTTTCTTTGACGTTTATTTTTCGAAAAATATTAGAAATCGGAGCATAAAAGTGGATAAAAGCATGCAAATTGAATTTAATAAATATAAAAGTGTATTTGATAAATATAAATAATATTTAATAAATAAAATATAAATAATAAATAAAAATAAATATAATTAAATTATCCTGTTTTTTATATGTTATATATTTTTTTTTATTTGATAAAAATCGTGTGTTCGATACCTATGTATGTTTCAATGAGGTCTAAATCTAAAATCTTGCTATTGTTAGTTAATAGAACACAATTACGCGTATTGCATCAATTACGAGATTGTCCTTCTTCATTAGTGCTAAATCAACTGACATTAACAGAGATAATGTATACCATATCTTTGTAGATGACATAATTGTTCATTACCACATTATGCGCAAAATACAAAGCTCTCTTTCTGTTTGTCTTAATATATTTATTGTAATATAATATAGATTAAATGCACTTAATTAATTTGTTTTACAAAAAATTTTACTTACAAATTTAAATTTTAGTAAAAGCAATATTTCTTTGATTATATTTATTATTCTGTTTTCTGTACTTTAATGAAAGATATGATTACAAAAAATAAATATTGTAAAAGTAATCGTATTGCAACTTTTTTCAAATATTTTCTCGCGATAAGATTTGTATTGAATGAAAAAGTCATCGAAGAGTATTCAAATTTATTATTTATTATTTGCTGATTCTGGAGTCTTCGAGTATCGATTGAATGTATCCGGGACGACGGTTCGATGGGTTTTCATCATGACACGAGTTCTCCGTAAAACGGATATAATACTTTATTGACCAACCGGTATGGGTCAAACGTGCTCGATAAATCCCTCTCTTTCCCTAAGGGTTAATGACATTGCGCGCGAATAGTGCATTGCTTCCTCCTTTTCATATCCGGATTCAGATAAGGCGAGCTATAAAAGGTAACGTAAAAGTGTTTTGGTCAAACACTTTGCAGTAAAACTGATTATTAAATATCACTACCATGATCAAGATTAGTATCAGATTCGCTAAAAAGCTCTCTTTTTTCAATTGAAAATATATATAAATTTCCATTTATTAATAACAGTCACTATTGTATTTAAATAGGAGTGGAAAAAAATAATCGATCAAACTAGCAAGTAAATAGTTTATCACGACGTTTCGACCATACGATTGTGGTCCTTTTCAAGTGAAACAAAATGAATGAAGTTAAAATTAAAACATCATTATACAATAGTTGTCAGTAACATCTTTTGAAATTATACAAGTCAATTAATTGAAAAATGCGAAACATTAAACGTCATAACCCAGCGAAGGATCGTTAGATTCTCTATGTTTTTATATTACAATATATAAATTTTCTTCGACTAAAAAAAATTATATCCTATCAATTAACTATTATGTTTGCAATATTTGTGTGCTAGAAATATTATTTTTGTAATTACATATAATAATAATAATAATAATAATTAATAATAATAATAATAATAATAATAATAGTTATATTATAGTTGTAGAACAAATGTAAATCAATCTTATTGAATAATATTAAAATACAACAATTTTAAGGTAATGTTTCGCGATTCAACGCGCTTAAAATACTTACATACATTTATTTGTGTTATGTGCAATTTATAAACAAGCAGGAAATAATGTGCAAAATGCGATGTGAAAATGTAATTTATAACATGAAAATGAGATGGTTTTAATGTATTTTATCGCTTGAAAATATTTTTAATGTAGCACATTTTCGTATATATAGTTTCGAGGTTGATTTTATTTTACGATTGATATAAATCTTAAATGTTCAAAAGATATACTTTTCGTATAAATATATATACAGGGTGTCCAGAACATTGCCCGCAATACTTCGGGAGGTGTTTCGGAACCCAAAAAGAAGAAAAAAAGTTATATAAACATAGATCCGGAAATAAGTCGTTTCCGAGTTATAGGCCACTTTTATTTAATTTTAAAAAATTTTATTTTTTAATTTTTTTCAATTTTAAATCAAATTAAATAATTTTCCCAATAATACTGCTGACTTAAGACAAAGAATAATTCATGAATTCGAAGGAATAAGGAAGGATTCAAATGTTTTTCAAAGAGTTCGGAATTCCTTTGATAGAAGAATAAGAGCCTGCATTCGTGTTGAAGGTGGCCATTTTTAACATCTTATTTAATTTGATTTAAATATTTATTCATGTTTATCCTTGATTTTTAAAAATTATGTAATCGTATTTACAAATATCGAAAAATTAAAAAATATTAGAAAATAAAATTAAAAAAAAATTAATAAAAGTGGCTATAACTCGAAAACGATTTATTTCGGACCTATGTTTATATAACTTTTTTTTCTTCTTTTTGGGTCCCAAATCATCTCCCGAAGTATTACGCCCTTTTTCTGGACACCCTGTATAATTTGAGGAATATAAAGTTAACTTTTTCAAAAGTTATCAGGCACATTTCGGTATCGTTTTCTGTATTAGCATTTTTTAATTTCATAACGCGGCAATATTTTTAATTATTTACTCGAAACTAATAATTTCAGAGATAATGTAGAAGAAGTAAAAAAAGCGAGTTTTTTTCCGAGATATGCACATGATTATTCTTGTCCATATGCATAATGTATCCGGATGCATAATGTAGCAGATTTGATGTCGACATCGATATCTTTATCTTAATGTAGAATAAATTATTTGCGCGAAATTCGAAAATTAGGTTTTTATACCATATATAAAAAACATATATATTTTTTTCTAGTCGTGTCGATCTTGGGGAATCGTGACGGAGAGAAATATAAACCAATCCCGGTGAGGATCGTCGCAAGGATGAAACTGCTGGTCTCGTAACACGAACACTATATTGTGACATTCCGTCTCCTCGTTCCGCGAGAGTCTCGGTTGCGTAATTCATGAAAACCCGATATCTCTCTGCCCCTTGCACGTGAAATTGAACACCGCGCATGGCTTTTGAGGGCACACAACAATCTGAGGTCAAGGTGCATCATAGGCGTCAAGTTGAATCTCAGCCTCGGTTGGCGCATTGTATATATAAATCAGGATATAAGCTAGTTGCACTTGTCCGTAACGACCGATACATAAGTTTGCTCCATTCCGATAGAAAGGAAAGAAACCGATAGCAAGTCTCGTGGGTCGTGTGAAAAATATATGCAGCTATATAAAGTCTTACTTCTTTCAATATTGATGAAAGCTATTATTAATTTATTTAATATTTAATATTTCAATTAGTTTGTCGATCTTTCGTATAACGAGGCAATGTTTAATTATGACATTTTGCGGACAGCTTCTCAGAATATTTAATAGCTGTTTAATTTATTTTAGCGAATCTCTTGATTTAACGCTTTTAGACTTATAATATTAAAATATCATAATCTTGAGCAGAAAATTGCATTAGCTATCTTCATAATTAATAAACGTTCTATCGCGCTAAAATACAAAGTTTTTTTTACAATAATATGAAAACAACACAGAAAAAATATTAACTACCACAACTATAATTTAGGCATGATAACTAAATTTCAAGTGTAATGTAGGGATAAACTGAAAAAAAATTTAGTTAATTCTTATAAGTATTTAGTTCAATACGTTCAAATAAATCATTTATTTGAAATTAATAATATTTATTTGATATGAAAAATATGTATTTGATATAAGAAAATCCTTTTCAAAACATAAATATTTATTTGTTTCAAATTTAAACGTATTGAACTAAATATTTGTTAATTTAACAAATTTTTTTTCAGTGTACTTATAAAAATTTAGCTATGGTAGTTGATATATTTTTCCTTGTATAAAGAAGAATTACACGATTATGTCGAAGAAGAATTATACGATGATTCTTATGTGGGCGCTATATGTAATAACATACTGTGTGTATTTGAGATCGTATTAGATATCGTTTAATAGCAACGTTTTGTTCAATGAATAATAGTAGAGTGGATAGAATTGCAGCATGTCCTCTCATATCGCGATGTAACGATACGGTTTCATTAGACGATATTGATAGTCAATTGGCAGTTTATTGTCGGACGGTATATTGTTTGATGCGAAAATGGAGCAAACATCTTTGCTCGCTTTTTCGTTGCATTACACAATTTGTTTAATTATTTTGATACTTTTGCGGATATAATATGCATAAATGTGAAAAATTAAATTCATACTCTTAAATGAGAAATCTCTGTGTGAAACTGATTATAATACATATTCATTTTAATATTTAATTACAAATTAAATATTAAAATTGGGAGGGAAAAATTGATAACTTAGTTGAAATTAGTTTGTAATAATAATTAATAACGCAATATCATTGCGGAATATTGCTTAATAATACAATCTACATAATTAGATAATGTGAAAGGATATTGTATAAAATCAAAATTTGTTTCTATCAAAGAAATTAAAAATTAAAATAAAAATAAAATTTTTTTTGCATACACACACACACACACATATATATACAGGATGTTTGATATAAAGTGTCACATTGAAAATATATAAATAGAGTTTGTTATTTAGAGACAATTTTTCTTCGGCAAAAATATTGAGGCCTCAATAATTTTCGAGTTGTAAGCGATTGAAAATAAAGGGTTTTTTCGCAAAACTAAGTCTTGTGCAAATAAAATATTAACAAAACCACATTCTTCGATTAATTTCAAGTAGAGTTTACTTTAATAAAATTTTAATTTAAGGTTTAGTTATAAAGATACATAATGGCAAAAATTGGGAACATTCAAAAATATAGATAGCCTACCTCCTTTCTCTGAAAAAAAATCGTCTCTAAATAACAAGATCCACTTGTATATTTTCGGTATGACACTTTATATCAGACACCCTGTATATAATATATAATATATATATATATATATATATATATATATACATATACATATATACACATATATATATACATACACACACACACACATATATATATATATATATATATATGTATATATAAATAATAAAGCAGAAACTTTCCACATTTATGGAAAGAATTTCTGTTAAAATGAACAATAGCATGTTATATCGTTGGAACTAAAGGGATCTCGTGTATCATGTGATATGTGTAAATTATCTGTATGCATGCATGGCGACTATTGTTTTAATAATATTTTAATGTGCCTGCAATGCAGAATCTTTAATGATAACTTTTTACGCAGTAGAAGATAGATCACGCACTGCATAGCGCGATTATCAATAATGTGATGCTTTAACAAAATGTCTCGTATAATTACGTTCTAGTATATATGAATTATATATATATATATATATATATATATATATATATATATATATATCAACGTAGAATTATCTAAATCACTTATTACGTGATATCTCGCGTGAGGCAATTTGTTCTTATATTTGTTATATGGTGCCGCTTTTTAAACGTTCCATTCTTGATAAAAGCCAACACATATCTGCTATTTATGTTTCATAATTTTTATGCAAAAATTGGAAATTGAATATATATAACTATTTATATAATAATTTGGAGAATTTATATAAACGTACTATACAAATGTACACAAGTATTTTAAGTGGATATATACAAAAAATATATTTAATATGAATTTTCCAATTATATATGTATAATTATATATAATGATATAAAATGATTATAGATTAGATGAGTTAACTCTTCAGATTTTGTGTTTAAAAATTTGAATTTTATAAATTTCAATTATTAGTATCTACAAAATATTCAAGAATATTATTAATTATTTATTAATGTAAGTTCTTAAGACTTTTTATATTTTAGTACAAAATTAATTTTAAATATAAATCTAAATCGTAAGAAAGGCGTAAAGAGCCATACGCGGATGTTGCTGCGTACATTTCCAACGAAAAATAAGTATTCGTTGGAAATAAATCGTGCACAAAGCACGTATTATTCTCGGTATACTACCAAGACTTAAAATTAATTTTGTTGGTTCATCTCGTTGCATCTTATATATTTCTTTTAAGAGTCACCCTTTTAGGATGAGATGTTCAAATATTCAACAATGTGTATACCATGTAATACAAGATCAGAAAGTACTTAATTTTTTTAATATTAAATTCGATAAATTTTAATACAAATTAACAGCAAAAAGGAATTCAATTTCTTCAGAAGTACGAATAACTCTCGCATTGAAAGAATTTCTCGGTATATTTTGATGTTTATTAATTTTTTTCAGTAAGTATTTATTTATTTTGTGACTGAAAAACTCATCAGCAAAAAAACATGCGTGTGATTCTTCTTTGTGATTTTTCTATGAATGAGATCCAAAATAGCATGTATGTCTGTGAAAGAGGTAAACTGTGAGATAAGCGTATAGTTACATAAAAGCAATCGATAGTTCTTTTTGTAAGAGTTTGAACATATTATGTCGCATTTTAAAAATATACTACGTTGGATATATTTCCATTGAACTTTTAGAGTTTTAAATTGAAATGTTATATGTTTTACTTACTTGAACATTATTATTCGATGAGTTTTTATTTTTTAATAATACGAATAAAATTATATTTATGCAGAGATAAATGTAATAAATACCGGATATAGAAATCTTACACTGGAAAAAAATTTGTCGCATTAACAAAAATTCTGTTCGAGAATGGACGAAACAGAATTACTGGTTGAATCTATCAGAATTTTTTATTGCAACAAATATCTTGTTTGCAACAAATCGGTTGTTTGTCCAAACAAGATATTTTCTTTTCCAATGTAAAATAAAAAATACAGTAGTCAAATAATCAATAGTTATGATTTTACTCGGATTTTTAGTTTACCATTTTCTTTCTTTATTTTATATAATTTAAATTACATTTAGTTACGCCAAATGATTATTACACACAGTGTCAGGACTTGTTTAATCGACTTTTTCCGTAAAAGCGAACCTGGTAGTGCCTTATGGTTGTTTACATGGATGCTAAGGTTAAGGGTCAATTTAATTTAAAGGGTAGAGCTCGGACAAAGTCTTTCTTGTTGAAGACAATCGATCGAAGTAAATGAATTTATCGAGAAGCTGTATCACGCGATTTGTCGGTAGATTATTTCTAGACGATTGTGACATTGATAGTATTTCACATAAGATGGTTTTACAATTAATTTTCGATAAATCGAAAGGATTTGATTTTGCAGATAATTAAAGAGATTATTAAAGATTTTGCAGTTTAATTAAAGACTTGCGATTATGAAAATTGAAATTAAGATCTTTATTATTAAGCGCTGAGTAGATGACTCGATATTTAAAATATTATTTATCTCATATAAAACTCGCGGTCTATAGAAACATAAGATAAGAATCAGGTATGTGCAGATGTAGCTCGCATATTAAAATATTTGCCATAAAGATATGAAGATTAAGATACGATGAAAATTCATGACTGTCGTGGAGAATATTTGCAGGAAATAAATAGTTTTTAATTGCTAATAAAATAGTTTTTAATTACTACGCATGGTAAAGAAATATTTTTCTCATGCGACTGATATTTATCGCGTGAGAAATATTTCTACTTTACATTGACGACAGAGGAAGGAAAAAAGTCTCGCGATTTGTTTGTCCTTCCGTCTCGGATCTATTAGATAGATAGATAGATAACTTCATCTAGCAATTTACATTGGCGCACCATTGAGCAATTAAGTCTCGTTCTCCTGTTGCATCTGTATGATTCAGCTTGCATATTATTTTTCTATATCTGAAATGATTAACATAACAAAATTTCTTAATAATATTCTTTCCTCGATGAATTGCGTTTATTGCGAGATGAAAGATTATTTGTACAACTGAAATATTGTAGAATGTTTGAAAAATATTTAGTTATTTTGTTTACGCTGCATACCATATTTTTGCATTTTTGGCATTGACATTATGATGAATCGTGTTCGAGCATATTTTTTTTCTTTGAACTAAAAATGTAAATGTACGTTTTTTTTAAGCAAACCAAGGAGTGCGGAATGCACATTTATAATAAAAATATCTTTCACGAACGTGTGCAATTTAAAGCTACTAAAGTTTAATGTTTATTAAAGTTTACGTTATTAAATTTTTGTTTTAATGAGAGAGAAATAGATTGTAATAAGGGAAATATATTTTTATAAAAATATTGTCCTTTTTTAACATTTATTTTATCGTGTCATTAATATTAACGTGGTATTTTCCATGATATAAATTCTAAAAACTATTTTCACGAAAGTAACTAGTTCCTACGAATAATTCTCAACAGATCTAACAGTTGCAGTTATATAGTATTATATATTTTCGTTACTACTATTTTATCGGCTATATAAGCGTTGCGAAATAAAAAGAGGGAAGCATGTATCTTTTATTATATAATTCTATCAGAAGCGATTTCATTATACAATATATAGCACCCGTTCTGTTGGTTTTCTCTATAATGGTTGTTTATTTTATACTTTCAGGTATAGCCATGAATAATTCACTCGGCTAAAGTGGCCAACACAGTAGTTTCTCCGACCTTGAGGAAGGGAGACTAAAACGGCATCGAGATGGGCGAGCTTTTAGGATCTGCGAGCTTTCTTCACCTCGGCGACATCGTCAGCCTCTACGCCGAGGGAAATGTGTCCGGATTCCTTTCCACATTGGGGTAAGTGAAACATGAGCGATGAATATCATTTCTTGGTACAGTTGTCATTTAATTGTGCCAGAATGTGACAGCTTCTTTAACCATGAAAAGTATATTTTATTTCACTTTCTCTTTTGAGAAAATATAGTGGCAAATTTTTTCGTTTTTTTTTTTTTTAAATTTTAAACGCGTATAGTTACAACGAATCGTATCAGTCAAAAATAACTTTTCAATAGCTCTCTCGTTGAGAGCTTTTAATGAAAAATTTATATTTACATTTTACATATACGACGGATGTAAAATATAAAATTGTTGATATAATTTAAATTGTCAATACTTTATATACATTAAATAGGTTATTGTAAAATTTTTAATAATTTTTCGTGAATTTCCGTAAAATTTTTTTGAGTGAAGAAATTAATTTTTTTTTATAAATATATCTTTCATGAATATTATATATATGTTAGTGCAAGAACATAATATAATGAAATAGTAGAAATTTTAGTTTACTCATAATTAGTAATCAGATTGTAACAAGCGCTGTTATATTTTTTAAGATATAGATCCAAGTGTTTTTTGTCAAAGCCTATCTCAATAATTTACAGCATCAGGTAGCTTCAAGACAGATTCTTGCAGCATCTCGATCCTGTTTACATCTCGTTCAACGAGTTTCGACTTTAGATATTTATCTATGTAGGACTGTTTGCATCCTCTGTCCGAGGCTACTGACTATGATTTCCGTAGTTTTTTTTATATCTATTCCATATCAGCATATATATTAGCTTTAAATCAAAGTTATTTTATTTGCATGATTTTTAATGTTTATTTATATTACTGCTCATTAAAACTATTGAATATGTATAAATTGATATTTTACAAAAATAATTATTAGCATTGAATATCAATGCTTTATGTAGATGTTTCCTCATGAAATAATATCGGATTATTTAAGATGTTTATTAATATCGTGTCTGATTTTTATAAATGTATGAAGGCTATTTACTTTTTTAAGATTATGTATGTACAATATAATAGATGAGATAGGAAAGAAAGAAAAAATTTACATTCTCTTAAAATTAAGCTACGAATCAATTGCATAGCATTAACATGCGTTCTTTGATATGTGAAGTTTATTATTGATTTAAAGAAAATTCTTGCTTCTACTTTTTTTATTACATAAATGTTTCATAGTATTACATACATTATCCTTGTGAAAACAATAATGTTTACACAGTTATTTATTATGTTACATATAGTTTGTCGCGTTTCGTGTTTAGATTGTGCGGGTTTTAACGATATAATAGCTTTGCAAAAGTTTGCACCAGATAGATTTGTATCAAAGTACTTTTTTTTCACGTAACAAATGTATTAGAAGCAGATTATATTTGTTTACTCTTGTTTTTCTGTCATGCACTATTTTGAAACAACGAAAATTCTGTTTATATGTATATTATATACATATTTTAGTCAATTGTCAGGTTGAATAGAAGAAAGATCTTTTTTAATCTGAGAGTAATTATATAAATTATTTGTAATGTGACCTACATTTTCTGTTCTCTCAATTTTAGAAAATTGCAACAAGTTTCGACTCATTTATTATAAATTTTGACCAAAGAAGTATTTAATTTCTTAAAGAAATTGTAGTTAAAAGAATACCCGTAAAAAATATCTATGACATTTATGTGCATTTTGTTAATTAAACTTACATTGCTTGTAAGTAATATTTCACGTATGAAATTTCATGAAATTTGTACAAATAGGATGAATATATAGTATGAATTTTATTTTAAATCGTGCGGAAATTTTATTTTTATCGGAAGAGGGGAGATTATGTATCAGGCTGTTTCCAAGTTTTTTTCCCATAATTTACGACGTTAAAAGGCGCGCCAACTTTTAATTACAATTTGACGTTTTTAGCGAGAGTGTTTCAGCTGCAGATGCGATTGCACGGAGCTTTGTAACATTAATACTCCAGTAAAATTAGAACTTGAAAGGGCAAAACTTCATAAAAATTAGGATCAAGCTGAATTTTTGTAGAGACCTTTATTTTAATGTTCTAATGAAACTCTGAAAAGTAGCCTTAATTTGATCCAGAGTGTTTTTATGGGGGGTAAATTTTAGTTATTTGACATTATCTCAAAAACTATCAATTTTTCGAGAAAAATAGTTATTATCAAAACTGTAGCTCATAAAATTTCCTACAAAAAAGATCATTATACTTTTTTTCGTGGAATTAACCGTTTCAAAGATATAGAGCGAATTTAAAAAAGTAAAAATATCCCCACGCTGGTGTGGAAAGGAGTACGTATTTTTTACGAACTACAGACATTGCAACTCTACCGTTTTATTAAAAAACGGTTAGTTGTATGAAAAAAAGTATCATGCCTTTTTTGTAGAGAATTTTATGAGCTACAATGTTGATAATAACTATTTTTCTCGAAAAATTGACAATTTTCGAGCTTAATGGCAAAAACTAAAATTTACTCCCTTTTACTCTCCATAAAAAAAGCGCTCTGGATGTAATTAAGGGTATTTTTCAGGATTTTATTAGAACATCGAAATAAAGGTCTCCATAAAATTTATTAGCTTGATCCTAATTTTATAAAGTCAAAGTCTAATTTTACTGGATATAACTATATACATCGCGTGTAGAGAAGTTTCATCTTTCTTGCTAAGAGATCCGCGTTTAAAGTTTCTTCCGTATTGCAGTCTCTTATTGAGGAGAACGACGTTAAAGCGAATGCCGCACCAAGGTCCTACGTCAATATGAGTTTCGCAGGCAGGCGTATTATTAAATTCGCACCTGCGTATAAGACTCGCGATCGATGAGCAATTATTTCACCCGACTTTAGCAACGTTGTTACCGTCATGGCTGCTCGTGTATGTAGATGTATATTACACTCGCACTGATGAACCCGACGACATCACACGGCTATCAGGTAATAAGGCGAGATCTCTCTCTCTCTCTCTCTCTCTCTCTCTTTGTATAATGCAACATTGTCGTCGATCTCGCGTACTCAACTGCGCAAATTTTTCTCAAAAGCTATACGTGGCGTTAAAATATCTTTGATAGTCTCGATCTTATTTTGATTATGAAATACGCATAAATAAATGACGAAGAGCGCAAATAATTGATGATGTTCGCATTGATTGCTAATTGTGAATATATATAATGACTATCTTTCCGGTGTATGGTGTAGTTTTTGCGATGTGTTTTTTTTTCTCTGATATATGGTTATTACTCCGCTTGTTTAAAAGCATACCGGAAAATTGCTTTTTTAGTGGCTAAAAAAGCGATTCCGCATACATATACCGGCGACATAAACATTTGTAAAGTTGGAGCATTTTAACTCCATCAGCGCCACTAGTTGATCATAAAAAGAGTAATCTTAACTTTAGCAGCGTTTTAAAATGGGCGATATTTTTTTATTATTCCTTTATTGTTCTTTTCGAATTAATGTGCGAATGGCTAGTAAAAAAGGTATCCTATTAAAGAATATCTGCTGTGTTCTGCGAGAGAATTTATATAAATGTTTATTTATTTCCACAGAGGATTATTTATGTATGTTGACACATGCATATATGCATGACAAAACGGATCAACCAAATGTGTTAACACAACCTTTAACCCGTGATATCGATGCGGCATCGCTTCTATTTTTTATTTTCTTTTTATTCCTGTTATTGTTGCATATTATTGATACGCGCTTATCTGGTTTTGAAAGAAGATTTTGTTGTCGTCTTTCGATTGATAATAATTTCACGAATGTTCTCTCTATGCAAAACAAATAGGGTCAACGAATAGATAGCAGACTGCGTTAACGTGTCGAGCACCGTTTAAATTCGGAGTTTATCAGTCAGTGTTTATAGAATTTGACGGATCGTGAAAGGAAAGTCGTGACCTGCGTAAAAAATCTGCGACGAGAAAAAGAAATAAGAGAAAAAAGGAGGCACAGCCTTTTGTATGACTGATCATGCATGAGAAAGCGTCGCGTGTTTTCGAAACCACGGTATATATTTTCGGATGCTACGTAAAGCGGTCAGGGTCCATCGTTCAGGGACCCCACGAACCTCGTAATTCGTCGCTGTTCGCGCGCGTTTTCAGAAGTCTCGCTCTTTATAGTCCAGTAAAATTAGACTTTGACTTCATCAAAATTACGATCAAGCTGAATTTTTGTGGAGACTTTTATTTCGACGTTCTAATGAAATCCTGAAGAGTCACCTTAATTTCATCCAGAGCGTTTTTTTATGGGGGATAAAAGGTAAATTTTAGTTTTTTTGCCATTATCTCGAAAACTATCAATTTTTCGAGAAAAATAGTTATTATCAAAATTGTAGTTCATAAAATTTCCTACAAAAAAGGTCATTATACTTTTTTTCGTGGAATTAACTGTTTCGAAGATATAGAGCGAATTAAAAGAAAATAAAAATACTCCCGCGGTGGTGTGGAAAGGAGTACGTATTTTTTACGAACTACAGACATTCCAACTCTACCGTTTTACTCAAGAACAATTAGTTGTACGAAAAAGTATATTGACTTTTTATAGAGAATTTTATGAGCTACAATTTTTATAATAATTATTTTTCTTGAAAAATTGATTTTTTCGAGATAATGGCAAAAAATTACCCCCTTTTACCCTCCATAAAAAACGCTCTGGATGAAATTAAGGGTATTTTTCAGGATTTCATTAGAACATCGAAATGAAAGTCTCCACAAAAATTCAGTTTGATCGTAATATTTATGAAGGTTTGCCCTTTTCAAGTCTAATTTTACTGGACTATTACACTTTATCGTTCACGTGGCCGTTTGATGCTGAGGAACATTGCGTAAATATTCCTCTCTCTCTTTCTTTCGACGATCCGCGAAAGGAGCAGCAGGAACCCATCTAATGACAAGCGCGCGCGGAATTGAGATGTCGTATCGAGATCGAATCGTGTTGCTCTACATCCGACAACGACGTTGAAATCAGCCGTGGCGACGCAACAAGACAAATTACACATATCATCGTTTCCTGCATTCG